GGCAAGATTTACGGTGGAACTTGGCTCATTGTAAATAAGTCAGTGGAACAGGGATAAGAAGAAACCATATGAAACGGCCCGAAACCCGAGAAATGGGACCCCTTCCTTGCCCGTTGATTTGCGCATTGATGCGACTCTCATCGCTGTGCCCTCTTCAACACTACGCTCTCTCTGCTATCTAATCACTCGCCACGTATAGACCTGCGGCGAGTGATTAGATAGTCGGTGGGCGTACCCCGCCAACCGCGCCAAGAGTGAGCCATGCTAGATCGCCGAGGTCAAATCTTTCGCTGCCAATTGCGCGTCGGTCAGCACCCTCAGGAGGTCCGCCTGTCTCCCAACTAGGCAATTTTCCCCTTCTTCGACCTTCGTTCTTATCGTGGAATCCTCCTTCAAATTATAGTACGAATTAAATTGATACTATTTGATTATGGAATCGCGAAATACAAAAGCAACTATCAGATGTAGAAAACGTAGATGTTGACCTTCCTTATCCTTAACAGTTGTCAGTATGCGCCATGTGATATCACTCTGCTGTGATATTTTCTTCTCTTTTAGGAGTGGGAACCTGATGGACTATGTTTTCAACATGCTTGAGCAGTACGCTTCTACGTTAGAAGGAGAGGTTGAGGACAGAACGAGGCAGTTGGCAGAGGAGCAAAAAAAGAGTGATATCCTGCTGTATCGAATGCTACCCAGGTGAGAACCAAAAGTCCAAATGCAATATCCTGCGGAATGAAGAGTTTTGCAACCTTTGACAACTGGTTGTTGAGCTGTTAGCATTGAGTGTTGCACTTTCGCTGTTTACGTAGGTGAACACTGCCACCTACATCAACAGCAAAAGCGTAAACAACGTAGGTGATCATCGCCACGTAGCGAATTGGAGTCCTTCGTACGAAGGTTCCCTCAAACCCCACTTTGCTATGTGGCAGTGATAATCTACGTTATATCTTGTATTGCGTACTAGTGCTCAACGCTGATATGCCTATTTCAAAGGCAAGTCGCCGAAAAGTTGAAACTTGGTCAATCTGTCGAGCCCGAAACATTTGAAAGCGTGACTGTGTTTTTCTCGGACGTGGTTTCGTTCACAACCCTTGCTGCAAAGTGTAATCCTATGCAGGTACGTCGTCTCGTTACCACTACTCCACATTAACAGGATGTCATTCAGATGCGCGATCAACTCTAGATTTTTCACAGCACACTCGGCTGGCTGCGCTACCTTCAATCGCCATACTGTTCCTCTCCTTTATTCATCATACAGGCTCTCCTAGACTCTCTCTAGTCGTTTGTTCTCTTCTAGCACTCGTTCTGTCTGGCTGTACTTCATCCTCCTCTATCTACATTTCATCTCTCTCTATAAAAATTGTCTCCTAAGATCTCACAATTACGTGGATACTTTTGCCTTTGCACCTGCTCGAAAACTTTTCTTTTCAACGACTATCTATGACATATATTTAGCCTCTTTCTGCACATGCCTTTCTTGTTCATTCCCTTCGTAATCCCTGGAGTGACACAGGTGGCTGTGCTACATTCAAAGTGTGGTCCTCGATAGGTCATTATGACCAGTACGGAAGTATTAGCCAGAAGCCTTCACTTTCTAGGTTGTTGGTCTGCTGAACGACTATGATATAGTATTTATGGGACATCTATTTGATGTTCATGATGTTACAAAGTAGATGCAGTCTTTGTCTCTAAAAGTCCCATGTTTCGGAACTTCTGAAGAAATATCAGTAGCACAAATATAAAATTCTGAGCTCTTCATCTTGAATCCTCATTATAAGAATTGCATCAAGACAACGAAGTAAATTCATTCGCTTCTTATGTACTGATTTGTAGCCCCGGCTACAAGTCTCGGTGCAAATGAGGTCACTTATCTTTTGCGTCCTGTGTTCTGTGCGTTTCTGACATAATGTCAGAATCGCTATAAGGCGTTTGATAGGGTAGGTTTATCAAACTCCCAAGCTTCACCGTATCTCAAGCTTTGAAACGCAGGCAGGTCGAAAGTTGGTAGATGGAAATTTTCACCTATAACTACATACCACTCGAGGCAGACGTTTAACTCACTCGACGACTGCGCTATGTTTCGCTTGTGTTACAGGTAGTACGGCGTTATTCACTCTGGCGCGATGAATGTGCATGGAGATCATTTCACAATTCATGCGGGCGAGCGGAAAGAATGTGGCGTGACAAAATGCCACACGTTCCACAACTTATTAAATTAATCACCGACTGAGCGGAGGCCTTTGGCTGAAGATTTATTGTTAATTTTGAACACACAAGCCCACAGACAGATAGGGCACACAGCTTTCCTCATAGTAGGATGCTTGTTGTTAGTAGGACCTCACTGCCACTGTAAAAGCGGGAGTGTGGGAACTGCTCGCCTCTCTTAATAGCCACGCAGTCTAAATGCATCAGTTTATGCAGTAACAACTATCCTATTAATCACCAGCGAAGACACGCTGCTTCGTCAGCAATCCACAGAAGAATCCACAGAAGTATTGAAGTTCTTCAACTATGATGCGAGAAGCTGACTGATGGTCTAGTTATTGGTTTTGCGAAGATTGGTCGAAGCCTGAATAGAATGACCGTACAGTAGGATCCAAATAGAAGCAGGGAGAAGAATAATCAACTACTAGCCTGGCGTAGTTGATACCGCTCTGAGGCGGTGGGACTGCCGGGGAGCCGAAGCGGTTAAGACGATCACTGATATAGACTAGAAGCCGGAAGGGCGATCGAAGTAGCACAAATTGAGTCCCACAGAAACTCTAAGCTCTTAGCATTGTGGAGCTAATATACCCCGATCACGTGATTATTGAGGCCATTAAATTTCTCTGTGAACATAATTTTTTCCAAGGATTTTATGTTTTGAGAACTAGGCTTTCTCATGCATTTGTGAGAATGATAGCTACAAAGAATGTAAACGTAGCTAGCTACTTGCCTGGAAATATGGGAAAAGTCGCATTTTGCGACAGGTAGGCTGCAATGCATCTACTCCACAGATGAACGGTACGGTTCGTAATTAATCAGAAATTTGGAATGCTGCTGAAGACTCCAATAACTGAAACTTGTGCTAGGAATGCTTACTTTAGTTCTACAGTTTATATTCTGTTGTTTAGGTGGAAACGATAGGCGATGGATACCTCTGTGTAAGTGGACTCCCTCATAGGAATGGACAGCAGCACATAAAAGAAATATGTAGCATGTCACTCGGATTCATAAACAGCCTCAAGAGTTTTAGAATACCTCACTTGCCTCAGCAAGGCGTTAACTTGAGGATAGGAATGCACACAGGTTGGTTCATTTTGAATAATTGCTAAGAAGGCAAACAGTGAAACTGAAATTGCTTTTACTTTGTTAGTAAACAGTTCCCATTAATCTTAACCTGGTGTGGTGTATACAGGGCGGCTAGAAATTATAGTAACAAGAACGTACCGTATACAATTCCAAAATGGATGTATTTTTGAGTGCAGCGTTTGCGCATTTAGTTCTCTTAATACGATGTTCATTTTTTAATTTTACCACTCCAAAATTGTTCTAGTTTGGATTGTTCAAGCCTTTAGCTCTTCATGAAATAACGACTCGCTTGCTTCGTCAACATGTCTGGTGGTGTTACGTTGCAAAGCGAATCAGGATCTCCGGGAAGTCCGCAACAACCACAATTGCAAAGAATAATCAATTGGCTGTTAGGATCGACTGGAGTGAACATGGGAAAGAAGCTTCTGTTGTTACCAAGAACAGTTTATAAAAATAGAGCGCGAAACAGCGATGGCACATTCAACAGCACATTCAACAAGTCGTTTGCTCCCGTGTTAGCGATATGGTTTACTTATTTGAGAGTAGTCGCGAGGGCATCACCCTTACGGAGGCATGTTGGCGTAGAAAAGCTCAATTCTCCAGTGGGACGAAACTGAAAAGGAAATGGGACTGGACAGTGGCGCTCTCAGTAGAGTGTTGCCAAGTTTATGGCTGATGAGGAAGGACTCACAGCCGAGTTGGTCTTGAATAGATAAAGCGAACAAAATCATTTTGAACAGACCAAAGCTCAGTATCTCAGACATCACCAAGTCTAGAAACAGTGAAGGTTTGTGCAGTAAACAAACCAAAACACTTCATTTTTATCTTTTGTTCTATACGCATAAAATAGAAAAGAAAGGATTGTCTTGAACTTTCCCTCACTCAAGTAATTCCTAGAAATAAGGATAGAGAACAACTTCAATGAACATTCCTGCACACGAGAAAATTTGCGCGAAGTCTTGCCAGCTGGACTGCTCAGAGATTGCTGCGTTTGGAAAGTGGCCACCTAGGTTCTCAACTCAAATCTCCTGGCTCATGCTGTGCGAAGAGTAATGAGAACCAGCACCTGCTGCTGACATTATGTATTGGGTTGATCCATAATTCCTGGCCGAAATTTCCAGAATCAATTTTCTTCATGTCAAATTAGTGTCATTACGAAATAAGTTAGTATGTTGAAGGAGGCATCAGTACCTTAAACTAGGATGTTCCAGAAGGTCAAAGGGCAGTGGAATAAGTAAGTAGGGATCGAAATGGATCAACGACCAAAGCAGGCGATTATGCTTAACGATCATTTAAAGAAGAACCTTGCAAGGAGTGCAGTAGGCAAGACCAGCGCTGTGTTTGCATCAGTCTTTGCCACTGATCGGGCACTGGGCTATTGGCTTGACCCAGCATCAGCAATGCGATCAAGCGCAAAGTTTTTGCCCTCTCATCCTGAACTCTGCATGTCACCTTTCGATTGAAGATGCCCATTGTCGCCTGTAATCGGAATTCAGACCCGACGCTTACCGCCGTTTAGAGTTTGTAGCAGTATACCTGGCCGATGCAACCTATGCCGGCAGCTGTCTGAATGTATAACGTCTGCCATCCTGGATTTATAAGTCGATGGGGCGGCTCATGCCCTCTGGACGCATGATCTCGAGATCGGACTCTGACCATTATTTCTTGCAGAAATTTCATTCTGCTGCAGGCATATGCCTGAATTTCCCTAGTATCGCAGTTTGGGATTGCGAATTCATTGAGTCCACTACAACAACTATATTCAGCTTGGCACGTTCCTTATTGCTATTCTCGCCTAGCATTGAACCTTTAAAGAATTAACCCCCGCAATATAGTTTGAATTGCGGTTATCGATTATTTCTTTTTAATTTTTTTTTTCACCTACTCTCACTCCAATAGACTCTGCGACCTACTTTCGTCTATGAATATAGCCTTCCCCTTTTGAGGCTGACGTGGTTCACTCTTGAAACATTCCGGTGTCCCCCATTCAAACGTCTCAAATCTACCTCCGGATGAACGCCTGACCTTGCAATACGAAGATAACTCGCCACCTTCTGAGGGAAACTCGCTCGATCGCGATACCACATCTATCGTATGGTTCTGACATTACTTTATCGCACTATCCCCTTCTCGATGCCCTGAAGCAGTACCTTGATCTAAAGGCGTTTACTGAATAACAACCACCGATTTGTTTTTTTTTTCAAAAATAAGAACTCTCCTCCCGAAGTCATTCATCTCATAGCCTCATCCTCGTTTGATGATGAAATTGCATCCATTTCGTTTGCCCTAGTCAAATAATTGTCATATCAGCGATTGCGAGATTATCACTGTTGCTCAGTTGTTCTCCCGGTAATTATAGACGACAATTGAGCATAAAGTGTCTGTAAATTCGGTTTCCAGTAAATTAGATCAGCAATAGCATGTTTATATGGTATTCAAGAAGACCGCTTCACAGTTATGCATTTTTTTCGTGCATTGACTTATAGCATCAGAACCATGAGACAGTATTAAAGAGTGGAGAGTCCCCGCCCCTTTCTGTTCCCTTCCGTCCTTCCTCTTCCCCTGCCCCTTGTCTCTCCCACGATGCCCAGACTCGTGACTCCAGTTGCCGATTATTACATGGATACGAGTACAGTTGAAGTCAACGTCCTGAGGAAATGCGTGAACTAATTCTCTGTAGCGCGAGCCCGGAAAACATTGTTTTGTTTGTAATCAAATCTCTCTTCAGCCTAGAGCACGTGCCTGAGTGCAAATTTACGCTGTGGGCTTATACTTGGTCTGAGGGAAGAGGGTCGTCCAATGTTAAAGGATTCTCAATATTCCTGTTCGAAAAAAGTAAATCTGGGATACCGAATTAACGTGGAGTTCCAAGAGAGGTGGAAAGGTGGCATGTGGTCAGATCTCAGGAATTCTAGGCCGCGGCAGAAGATAATGCTTCGGATTTTAACCAGTACAAACGTAGTACATATAGCTAATATTGCGACGGCTGTGTATAAGACTAGGAAGAAGAATTATGGAGAAGAAGGAGAGATGAGCTAAATTCACACCCAAAACCTTCGAAATTGAAATCAAGTTTAGCTTTGAATAGCTTTGGAGAAACAACTATTGTTTACCGCCCAGCGAGGAGTAAAAAAAGTAAAAAAGTTTTTGTATCTTGAAATGTTACTTGTTCTCTTATTTTAAGGTTCTGTAGTGACAGGCGTAGTGGGTCTGACTATGCCCCGATACTGTCTTTTCGGCGACACTGTGAATACGGCTAGCAGAATGGAAAGCAATGGAAAGCGTTAGTCGATTCCCTTCGAATTGTTGTGTTGACATCTTGTTCTGACCAGATAACGATTTTTTCGATTACTTTTTGACTTCAGCATGATTTTAAGAGAACAGTCTCTTTTCAAAATATCAACTTGTTTTGCCACATATATTTGTACGCATGTTATCACGAATTGAATTTCTCATTGAAGTTCTAATTCACAGAGCGTGAAAAATACCCTATTGAAATCAGGTACGAAGTAAGAGGTTGTCCTACTAATTAGTAACTTTAATTGCTGTAAGTCTTCCTAGAAAAATGCTGAAGGTGGGTATATGCTTCGAGAGGTGTCACCTGCATTTATTCATGCATGATCATTAAGCCAGCTTATTCACACGCTCTTATTTTCAATGAGCACCGACGAGTTTTTCAAATTGATTGGAAAGGTCCTTCACTCATTCTCGATGCTCTGCCTGACGTCGTTCAGAAGGAACGTGGACCGGCTAGCTGCTACTGGCCAGAGTGCATCAGATAAGACGACGTGACTGTATTGAAACAACTGCATAAAGTCGGAAAAATTTGAATATATGGAATTTGGGTCTCACATGCCCTGGGTTCGTGTCAGCACCGAACACTATCTGGCATCGTCATGTCTCTCTGTTTTCTCATCTTTCATCGGTCATTCCACATAGTGCTGCAGTAGACAAGAGCTTGTGGGTCTATGGAGATGAAGACGATAGGGATGGAGCCTGGAAAATACGCCACTCGACCATCTTTAGAACGAGAAGATTGGGCAAGATTAAGGTTCAAGTCGACTGAATAGAACCCAAGTGGACAGAGTTGGAGCCGACTGAATCCTTCTGCCACTACATGTCCAAACAGACCCAAGCTAGGATGGGTGGATACTGATAACGTGAAATTTACTGAACTGCCACATGGACCCGTTGATTCGAGACCGTGTGGTTCCTTCATGTTAAATTAGGAATCATTCGATTCGGCTGTCAAGTACTAATTTCTATGAGCAACCTGAGTCCGAATATTGTCAGGATGTGAGACCGTGTTTGCAATTGTTGCTGGAGACGGTATTAGGCACCGGATAACTTAGTATTGCTTTTCTGAGTTCAGGAAGTTTTGGGACCGGTTACCATGGAAAATAAGTATCCCAGAAGGTCTTTTTCGCTGATTAATACTTCGGAATATGTTGCTTATTATTTTCTACCAGTTTAGCTGCGCACGCATTCGCGTGCATCACACAGTTCTGCGGCGATGTGGATTGGAACGGCGTAAATTCTCAAACTTGGCCCGATACACTACCAATATTTGATAATGCCATAGCGGATCTTCGCGCTAACCACTTCGATGCACTAATCGCATTTCACCTCCCTCCACTGCTAGCTTCTGTGCAATGATTTCCTCTACTAAGGGTCGTCAGGGTGTTGAGTTATGACGGCGAGTGGGAATTTCCGCTCACTCCGGTGACCCTGCCCCAACAGCTTTCAACCCTCCCTTCTTTCTCTAACTTCAGTCCACTTCTTTCCCGGTCGCTGGGGACTTCTAAGAACCCTTAGTTATTAATTTTCGTGGCAAACCCCGCCCACTTTGGTGCAAGCTTAGCCCACCAATAGCATTTAAACCCCTTTCCCTCCGGCAACCCTTATCCACATTTTCCCCGGTCGCCGGAACTTCTAGGAACCGAGTTATGAGAGTGGTGGCAAACTCCGCCCACTTCGGGGTGTGCCACGCCCAGCGTTCACATTCAACCTCTACTCCTCCTCTCACCTCTACAGGTCTCTAAGTCATCTCGGAGCCGAATTATGAGGTCTTGTAGGGGACGAAATCGAGCTACGTATCTTTGTGGCAAACCCCGCCCACTTTGGTGCATGGGTCGCCCACTGATATCAGTTGACTATCATCTCTTCCCCAACCTTTTTCTACTTTTTTCCCATCTCCGGAACTTATTGGAACCGAGTTATGAAGTTTCGTGGCAAACTCCGCCCACTTTAACGCATGCTCCGCCCACCAACAGCGACCCCCTTCCCTCTGCCATTCTTGCCTAATTCTAAACATAATTTGTTAACGCATAGTGGAGTAAAAGCTAAATATCATACTAGTAATCTTTTCATTCTTATTTCCTCTCTATTTTTGCACAGAAACTAATAATCTCAATTTGACAACTGGTATATTGCTGGTTTTTTTGGCGTACCTGCTGAATGAAGATTAGGACGATCACTAGAAGAATAGTAAATGAATAAAGTAGATAAAGACAATAAATGAATGAAATAAATGAAACAATTAAACGGTCAAAATTTTAGCTGGAAAGATTCATCTTTCATCTGAAGCACGAAATCTTCTAATGGAAGTGGGAGGTTATGAAGTTGAATCCAGAGGCGAAGTCATAATCAAGGTATTAGAATTGAATGCATTGTATGAATTTTCTGATCATTACGAACTTATAACTCTTACTAATCATCTATTTGAACAACTAGTATCATCGATGATGAGCACTGATATGCACTAACGCACCAAGACATGTTTTATGTTTTTGGTACAACTTCAGCTAGCATTGATTTATCTTACTGAATCGCTTCATTATATAACCAACACTTTGGTGTGTCGGTTCGTCGGTGTGTATGTCTCTTGAAGGGTACGCTTCGTGTTGATGTCTGATGTCGGTCAGACTCTGAGATTGCATCGCGCGATGCAATCGCAGAGTCTGACCGACATCTCATGATTATGGTATCACTCACACGGCTATATACTCACCGATCGAGCAATCTCAGCCTCATTCTACATGGTGCTGCCGTGGCAGCTGTAAGGGAAAGGCAGAAGGGAGAGGAGAGGAAAGAAAAAGGGCACGACTTGGAGAAGGGATGGGCAGGAGGGAGGAGGAAGGAAGGAGAGAGTACACCGCTTTTAAGATTACAGTTCGATTCGGTGTTGAGGTATTATTGCATTGGACACTTCATACAGCCGTTGGGTAGTGTTTGTGACACTACCCAACGGCTATATGAACACCTACGTAGTGCGCTTTCAGTCATTACACGAGGTGCTGCAGTGGAAGCTGGAGAGCAGTGAAGGGAGGACGAGGAGATAGTGTTAGGAAACGGAAACGACACTTCGCAGGGAAGGGAGGGTCCGGCGGTTGCGTGGACCAAGCTGGTTTGAATACTATATGCCAAAGGAGGTAAAAGTTCTTCATATAGAACTTACACACGTTAGATGAGAGCAGAACTGAAGATAGCAAAAAATTTCCATTCGTTGTTTTGTATGAATTTTTTCCGAGCACGATTCCGCGCAAATTTCAAAATGCAGCAATGTTGAAACACTCGTGTATTGGAAAATGCAAAAATCGCTCCGTTGCTTTGCTAAAAGGTAACAGCACCGTGTGAGCACCGGCTTTGCGGATGCAAGGCATC